AATCTGACATTCGATATAATATAATTGTGCTTCAAACGTTTGTATTTGGTGATCGTTTGGACATGTCAGTGTTAATTTGAAGGTGAAAATGAAGTATGTAGTAGTTTGTACGACTTATCGAGATGGTGCTTTATTTTTATTGTTTATTTTGGCTTGTTCGTTGAAATATCTATAGGTTGAACTATGCTGGTTTGCTTGTGGAGATAATTTATTTTGCTGAAAATATCTATAGGTTAAAGTGAATAAACATAAAATGAAACAACACAAAATATGAATGTGCTAATACTTTCAAACTGTAAAGAGGCCCTTTGCACACAAACAAGAAAATAAGCACCACATGAATCTGAATTTTTTTGTTCATAAAAGCCATTATAAGTTATCAGTACAAACATTATGTTCTTTGATTACTAAATATACACGCCTATTGATGTTCCTTGATTGGAGTGGATAATGATATTATTGAAGAACCATTTAGTTGACAGTCCATTCCAATACCAGCTGCTTGATAAGTCATTCTAGAACTTGGAGTAACAACATGAGCGAAAGGACCTACAATGAGTGTAGCCTGAGGAATGGAATGGGGCAAAAGACATGTCATATTTATTAGTGAGGTAGGTGGTATCAAACGTCACGACATCCCTGAATTCCTTATATGCTTGCCTACACCTATTATCTGCCCAGAACATATTCTTAAGCCGTGACTTTTCATCCAAATCCATAGAAAAGTAAAACCTAGAGCAACGTGCTTGCATTTTCGAAAGTAGGATTGTATTGCCGCGGCATCTCCTTCATCTAGTCTTAATTGCCTCACATTTTCAACATAGTTTTGACAATCCCATTCAATGCAAGTCATATTCTCATACCCACGGCTTCAAGTACTGCAAAGTTGTAACTCTTGTGCAAAGGAATTTCAGCCATATCATTCACTTCTAACTTTCGTTTTACATGTGCACTCAATTCTCGATTGCATCGATAAAACCTGAACTTCGATAGGCTTATTTTATGATTATGTTCGAGGTCAACCGTGCAAATTTTCCATATTCCACGAATATTTGATGAAGCAGTTGCCCTTGCTTTGCAACTTATTTGAATTGTTGGCTGTGCCTTCAAAGAAAAAAGAAACACTGCTATTATTCTTTGGTCTTCCCTCACGACTACATGTCAGTGTAACATATCTCACTAATCCATCATCACCCTTTTGGAATTCTTTTTCCTCATCGAAAAACCGACTTCGTACGCATATCTTTTGTAAAATTCGAACAACTCTTTTTGATCGTTGAACTACATACCCACCTCAGGCACTATCGTAACATCTCTTGCTAAATTATCGCTATCGTCTTCCAAGTTGACTACATTATCTATCAACTTATCATCGTTGGATTCTACACATACTTCGTCATCCAGTACTTCCATTGTTTATTTCCTTGCATCAATGTAATACATATTCATCATCACCAACTCACATAGAATGCTCATTTTGTAAAATCCATTTCCCCCATCTAATTCAACATTTCTGTGCAATTTTCAAATACAAAGCATATAATAATTCGAGTGTAAGTTAACATTTCTCTATAATTTTCAAATAGAAGACAATC